TGGAAATGCTTTCAAAATGGAATAAAAAAGCAAACTTCAGGGGTGCCTGGGTGGCTCAATTGGTTAAGCAACTGCCTTCAGCTCAGGTCATGATCCTGGAGTCCCTGGATTGAGTCCCGCATCGGGCTCCCTGCTCAGTGGGGAGTCTGCTTCTCCCTCTGACCCTCCCCCCTCTCATGTGCTCTCTCTCTCATTCTCTGTCAAATGAATAAAAAGAATCTTTAAAAAAAAAAAAAAAGCAAACTTCAGAATGTGCTCTGAATCAGCCAGCTGGTGAAGAGAGGAGAAGATGGGTCTGTTTCTCAGGGCAGAACATGTCCCTTCCCTTCCTCCTTCCCCAGAGATCAGAGTCCTAATTGCTTCATAGAAAGCTCTCTTGGGGGATGGTTACTGCTTGTCAGGCAGAAAACTGAGGAGCCCAGAATAGAGGTTGACCTTTGCAAAAAAAAAAAATTTTTTTTTTTTTTAAGTAGGCTCCATCCCAAAGCGAGGCTTGAACTCACAGCCCTGAGATGGAAACCTGAGCTGAGATCAAGATCTGACGCTTAACCCACTGAGCCATCCAGGCCCCTCCCCCCCCAAAAGTTTTAAATTACACACTTGGAAGACAGGAAGAGCTGAAAAAAAAAGTACCAGTAAAGCAGAAGAGGTTATGGATAATGCTGAAAAATATGTATGGGGGTAAAGCAGGTCAAAGAGAGTTTTCTCAGGTAACTCACCCTGTGCTCTTAATAATAAGAGCAAGGGAAGGGGAAGGAAGGAGAAAATAACATTTTTGAGCATCTACCATGTATCACATTGTGAGCCAATTATTAATAATTACCTCCTCAGTAACAGCTGGTGTGTGGTAAAGAGCATCCCCATTGTGGAGATGTCTGAGACTCAGAGAGGTGAATTAACTTATCTAAAGCCACACAGAAGAAATCTGTGGAACCAGCAGTGAGACCACCCCCAGCAACAGCTGTCTGTCTGGCTCTTAATCACAGCTATCCCCACTGCTTTGCAATCCCTCCTGAAGGGGGCGCTCTTGAGTGAAAAGGACTCGGAGCCCCAGGCGGCAATCCAGGGCATTTGGCTGGACTGAGGCATGAAAGACCCATCTCTGACCAAGTTTATAGTGAACAGGGTCGATAACTAAAGAGCAGGGAAAGGTTTAGAAGGGAAGGCATATAATTTCAACAAGTTACAACTTCGACAAGGGAAGAAGCTGGTGGTGGATTATGTTAATGTTTTCCAAGCCTGGGCAGAGGTGTTTGGCTGAGGTCCTGAGGCTTTGTGTCCTGAGTGAGAAAATAACAGGATGTTCAGAGATAACCCCCACTTCAGCTAAACCCTCTCAAATTCCAGAGCTATTTCTTTGTGGAAATGTTTGTAGCATTGACTAACCTATATTGAGTCCTTACCCCACGTGCTTTGTTTAATGCTTGTATTATCCCACTCAATACAGAAACTCTTTTTTTTTTTTTAAGATTTTATTTATTTATTTGGCAGAGAGAGAGGAAGCACACAAGCAGGGGGAGCAGCAGAGGGAGAAGGAGAAGCAGGCTCCCCGCTGAGCAGAGAGCCCCACGCGGGGCTCAATCCCAGGATCCTGGGATCATGACCTGAGCCAAAGGCAGACGCTTAACCGACTGAGCCACCCAGGTGCCCGTCAATACAGAAACTCTTAAGGGAATTTTTGACCAAAGACTGGGGGAGTCTCCCTTCATCTTGCTGCATCCTGATTAACTGGCTCATATAAGGCAGCCAGCAAAGGTTCAGAACTTTAAGAAAGAACAGATGTTAATCCAGAAGAGTTCAACAAAACCTCTTAATTTGTCTACCTAAGGTAATAGTCAATAATAGTGAGCTGATTCTTGTGCTGGTTTCTTAGCTGCTACCGGCAAGATTTCTTTTTCTAATTCTGTTCATCCTTTTAAAGAGTAAAGACCCCTTCTTCCCACCCCCACACCATAATCTTAGAAAGACAAGAACAAAAAACCAAACAAAAAATCATCAACGGTGACCAGCTGCATGGACACAGTCTGACCACTGCTTCCTCCTGAGATGAGGTGACAGACGCTCCTCTCTTTATATCTGAAATGATTGACAGGGCTCATGTCCAATCACAACTTTTCTCCTCATTCGAGCCACTAAAAGGCAGGTTCTGACTTTTCTCTAATATAAATATTAGAAAGAAGTTAGCATGTAAAAATTCTCATGACATAGGGCCAGATGTGAAAACTGAATGACAGTTCCTAACTTTATTCCTTTTATTAGTCACAGCTTGTAAAACTTCCCTCTTGTGAATGAAATGGCCTGAGCTTTGTGGTACCAAAGATCTCCTGGTGACAGTTTAACAAATCACTCTGGTTCCCAGATGAAGATCACTACACAGCAAATAATGAAGAAGAAGAAAGAAAGGGGGAGCCTGGGTGACTCAGGCTGTTAAGTGTCTGCCTTCAGCTCAGGTCATGATCCCAGGGTCATGGAATGGAACCCCGCACTGGGCTCCCTGATCAGCAGGGAGTCTGCTTCTCCTTCTCCCTCTCCCCCCCTGCTCATGCTCTCTCTCTCTAATAAATACATAAAACCTTTAAGAAAAAAAGGGGGGAGATTTTTAGTTGGAATTTTCCAAGGATTCCCTTATGCAGATATTATTAGCTCTCTGACAGTTGAGCAAACCCAAAAGGTTACAGATGCGCACAACACCACACACACGATTAGTAAGGTTCAATCCCAAGCAATTTGACTCCAGAGCCCAGGCTCCTGGTCATGACCCTATAGTGGCCTTCTGGTGGATGGTTGGACAGAGGGTGCCTTATAAAGAGGTGTGCAGGTGTGGTACCTGGGAAGGAAAAAGGACTTGCACCTGTGTCCTGATTCCACCCCTTACTACCAGAATAAGTGAAGGCAAGTGATTTCTTGTATTAAATTCATGTATTAAAATGACGGTGATACCCTTACTCAAGGGCGTGTTGTAATGATTGAATAGAGACCGTAGATGAAGGTATTTTGCAAACTGTAAACCATCCCCCAGACATTACTATGATTATCTGAGTATCACTGAGTGTGATTATTTAAGTGTGTGTGTGTGGAGGGGGTATTCTTTGATTCAGAAGAATAGAGAATTTATCGAGATCCAAATATCACGTTTGTTTAATGGCAACTATAATATTTTAAATCTTCTCAGCTTGTAAAAGCCTGCCTAGTTGCATTAGCCATGGTACTCCAGTCTGCAGGGGGAATGCAAACAGCTTTGGAGAATGAGATACAGAGCAAGGGCGAGAATAAGATACAGAGCAAGTACTCACTGTCCCCTATGCTCTCTTTGTTCTTCTTCCGTAGTCACCCTAGGAGCCCAGATGAGGTCGTTACTGGGTGGTTGATGATATATATGGTAGGGAGACCCACTCAGACATGCTTTGCCTCTTCAGCGCTCCAGCCCCATTGGGGACCGCGTAACATGTAACCGTGAATTAGCTGCAAGGACTGCATTTGACCACTAGGAGACAGTATACACAAAGAGAAAGAACTGGCGACTCAGAATGGGATCGCCCAATGCAACCACCTTATTTTAATAGACGGGGCATGCCTAAGGCCACGTGGGGAAATAGCAGAACTGAAATTCAAACTCAGACAGGTCCTAGAATGGATGAGCACTGCACATCATGAATTCCTTTTAACAAAGTTGGAGTGGGGAGAATGCTGGAGAGGCTTCCGTTTCCCTCCCTGAACCCCCAAATCCTGCCATGAGAGCCATCCTTCAAAGTTTGTGTGACCTGGGAAATTTCAAAGAGTGTGCTGCTAGGGCAACAGGTTTGACCAGGGGCCAATAACTTTGAAATATGTGAGCTAAAGTCCTGACTTCTGCAATAATGACGGGAGTTGGAGGGAGGGGAGTGGTTATCTGGGACTCCCGGGAAAGGCAAAGTTGTGTAAATGAAAATAACAAGAGTGACAACAGGCTCGGGGGCAGAAGTCTCAGCGTGGAATTTCCACATTGCCAGATACTCTCTCTAATTAACTGGGGACTATCAACCCCGGGAAGTATAAATATAAAACAGTTCTATGTTTCTGATCACTGACTCAATTGTTCTCTGTCAAAACATTTTTTTCTTAGTCCCTGATGGTGTCTCAGATACCCTAACTTTCCAGTCAGTTCTGGTTATTAAAACTCAGCCTGGTCCTACACTTTCCCCTCAAATTCCCTCTCCATCCAATGGACGTTCAAGCTGGGACTTGCCTCCTTGGAGAAGAGAGGGTGACCAGTTGTCCCAGACACACCTTTTCTCCATTCCCACTTAAAGCCCTGGTTTTCCAAAGTTTGGGGGCCTGGAGGAGGGACAGGCATGGGGACAAGTAACTCTTGACCTGACTGGCCACACAGTGGCCTCTTGTTGGCTGAAGCTGCTTCTCTAGCTAACCTTGGCTGCGTCCTGTGTGGCAGGTGTCCAAAGACTGGCTCTCTCGTGAGGCAAAAGTGTGAGGCTCCAGAGAGGTTTTCTGGACTCCTTTGCTTCTTGACATGGGAATGGTGGCCTCGCTCTCCCACCCTGTGCGTTTCTCCTTTACTCTCACATATCCACTACATTTCACTTCTGACCCCAGGGGAGTGGGTTTTCTACACATTGAGCCATTTTTTGACTCTAGGTGGGTGTCCGACAATTTAACTCCATTCTGACACTCTCTACCTGGAGGTGGCATCAGATCCCACGGGTGACAGCTCAGTCCCACGGGGCTGCCCCTCTCCCTTGCTTCAGATGCCACCTGCCCTTCTGACGGACTAGCCACAAATGGGGATTCTCACCACCCTCTCATTGGGTTTGATAATTTTCTAGAATAGCTCACAGAACTCAGGGAAACTCTTTCTTACGTTTTCTTATTATAAAAGGATACTATCAAGGTTACAGATGAGCGGAGTGCCTGGGTGGCTCAGTCAGTTAAGTGTCTGCCTTCAGCTCAGATCATGATCCCATAGTCCTGGGGTCGAGTCCTGCATTGGGCTCCCTGCTCAGTGGGGAGTCTGCTTCTCCCTCTCCCTCTGCCCCTCTGCCCCCACTCGTTCTGTTTCTCTGTCTCTCTCTCTCTCAAATAAATAAATAAAATCTTTAAAAAAAAAAGGGGGGGGCACAGATTAGTACCAGCCAAATGAGATGCATAGGGGAAGGTCAGGGAGGGTCCCAACTGTGAAGCTTCTGTGTCCTCAAGATGCATTGCCTTCTCAGCACGTTGATGTGAGTCACCAGCCAGGAAGCTCACCTGAACCTTGGTGTCCAGAGTTTTTAGTGGGGATTTTTTATGTAGCCACGATGGGTTGAATCATTGGCCACGTGATGTAGTTGAACTCAGTCCCTAGTCCCTAGTCCCTTTTCCCTCTCAGGGGGTCACAAGGCTCAAAGCTCCAAAGCCCTAAGGACATGGTTGGTCTTTCTGGCATGGACAGCCCCCAGCCTGAAACCATCTAGGGGCCCACCGTGAGTCGTCCTGTTACCATAAACTTAGGTGTGGTCTCAGGGCCCATTGTAAATATCAAAGACATTTCTGTGGCTCAGAAAATTGCAAGGGTTTAGAGGTTCCCTCCGAGGAGCCAGGAACAAAGGCCTGACAAAATCTTTATTGTACAACACACACACCAGCTTTGGACTACCATTTTTTACCCTACATCACAGGTATCCTGTCCTGTTCCCTCTGAGCCTGCTTTCAACACTTTCTTTCCCAAAAGCTATCAGTAGACCTCATTCTCTACTGGTGGATTTCCACCTAATTTGTCACCTCAAAAATCCCTTCATTTTCCTCAAGGCTCCGAGAGAACATAAAACCTAAGAAAGAAGGCAGCCAGAGCGGCTCAGAAAGGCCATACACTCAGCTCTGACCTTAGGCAAGTCATTAACCTCTCTGTGCCTTTGTGTCCTTATCTGTAAAATGAGAATAATAGCTATTAGGGTTGCTGCGAGAGTGAGTTAGATAAAAGCACTTGGAATAGAGTCCAGTACCTCCAAGGTTTCAAAAAATGTGTTATTTTGTCCCACTATGACATCATCATCGTCATTGGTCCAGAATGCAGCATGTAGAAGAAGAAAAAGCTCTGGAATCAAAACGAATTTCAGTCTTAGCTGGTTTGTTGCATGTTTGCCAATATGACATGAGTAACTTCTCTGAGCCATTATTTATTGGTCAGTAAGGGGGGGGGTAACTAGGGACGCCTGGGTGGCTCAGTTGGTTAAGCAATTGACCCTTGATTTTGGCTCAGGTCATGATCTCAGGGTCACCCTGAGTCAGGTGCTGTGCTCAGTGGGGACTCTGCTTGAGAGTCTCTCTCCCACTCCCTCTGCCCCTCATCCACCTCAAATAAATAAATAAATCTTTTTTAAAAGTGGGGGGTAACAAATCCCTGCATAGGTAAGCCCCTGGCTGGGGTCTAAGGGGCTGTGCCTTTTAATTTTGTTAGATGAGGCCAAACTGTCCTCCAGGAAGATGCTGGTTGTTTTTTTTTAAGGTTATTATGACAAAGGGGCAGTGCAAGAGAATTTGGGGGGGGGGATGACAGAAGTATTCTGTGTCTTTTTTTTTTTTTTTAAGATTTTATTTATTTATTCATGAGAGACAGAGAGAGAGAAGCAGAGGGAGAAGCAGGCTCCCAAGGAGCAGGGAGCCCGATGCGGGACTCGATCCCAGGACCCTGGGATCATGACCTGAGCCGAAGGCAGACGCTTAACCGTCTGAGCCACCCAGGCGCCCTAGTATTCTGTGTCTTGATGGTGGTGGTGGTTACATGGCTACACATTTGTCAAAATGCAGTTGTCCAAAATTTGGAACTGTACACCAAAGAGTTCATTTTCCTATATTAAAAGAATATAAATACAAAACATATTGAGCACTTTTTAAAAGATTATGATCACAAAGTTTAAATGAGATAATACAAGTGAACATGTCTACGTGATCTCCCCCTTGGGACCCTTGGGCCTCTAGACTCCCAATGCCACATTAGCAGATGTTTCTAGCAAATCTTGACTTTCAAGTGGTCTGAATATCGTTCATAGCCATATGACATTAGGGGGACTCCTTTCAGACCTAGCCCATAAATCTGACCCCTCCACTCCAATAACCTCTTGCCAAGCACTCTGGCCACCCTGGGGTTGGGGCAAAGGTGCCCATCGAAGGCCCCATGTGGGACACAGACCTGAACAGTGACTGCTAAGGGCTAAGCATGTTTGATTGGGAGCCTAGCAATCTGGATCCTCTACTTCCTCCTGAAAGCAGGGCAGGAAAGCCCTCCCCACGTATGAGACAAAGGTACTGGGAATCCGAGGTGTGAATTAAGAGTCTGGACGAGGCTGGGAAGGAGTGCGAAGGTCAAGAATCCTAAGGCCAAGTGGAGGAGAGAGGGAATTCTGTGTGTGATCGGTGTGGGGAGAAGATCCTTGGGAGCGCCCCAAGGTTAATTCTGGGGAGGTGTGAGGGCAAGAACAGGCAGGCCCAGGTGAGGGGAAGGGGGAAAGGCACAGGAGGTCCTGAGATTGATGGCCTGGATACTGAAGAAGACCCAGGCGTGCCTGAGAGTGAGCAAGATGAAGGGGAAACCGAGGAAAGGGGGATCATAGGACAGTGACTGTGGGAGACAGTCGGAAGAATGGGGGGAAGATGCTGGGTCTTCTGGGAGTGTGTAAGAGGAAGCCCAGGTGAGGGGAAACCGCTGTGGCTGAGGGAGGCCCTGACGATCACTCTCTGAACCGAGAAGCTTCTGCTCTGAGGGCTGAGGGGACTGTCACTGAGTTGGAGAGTGCTGTGTGGGAGTTCTCTAAATGTGGGGAAGCTCCACAGGTGACAACCTGAATGCAGGTAACCCTGAAAAAAGATGACAATGGAAAGGATTGTCCCAAATGTATGTCAAAGGGGAAGGGGCAATTCCAAAGAAGGGAGAGACCCTGAATTTTACAGTCCTCTTGACAGGGCAGGGAGGGGGCTGTGAGAGGGGAGCCCCTAAGAAAGAGGGAGGTTCCCAGGGCAGGGAGGACTCTCTTTACCATGAAAGATACCCTGGGGCTTCCTGAGTGTAAAGGAGATAGCAGTGAGGAGGGAGGTCCTAGAGAGACAGTGGGATGTCTAAGGGAGGGAACCCAGCCGAGGAGCTGGCAGAGAAGACCCTCAGGTGGGGGGTATATGAAAGTGTGAGGGTGTCCTACAGGTGACCACCTGAATTTCAGAAGTGTCAATAAAACATCTGAAAAGATGGGGTTGGGGGAGGGGAGAATGGCAGTGAGGGGGGCCTTAAGGAATAGGGACAAGAAGGGGAAGAAATACGGGTCTGAAGGCAGAGATGTCCCTGGAGACCCTCTCCCCCTGGATATGAAGGATGCCTGGGGTCTCCTGAAGGAGTGGAGCCTTCAGTATGGCCGTCCCCCTAAAACTTGCAGGGCTCAAGGACTTCCCAAGGGGATGGTGGGCTGGGAAGAAAGGGGAAAGGGGTTAGAAGGAGAGGAGGCTGGACTCCTGAGGGTGGGGAGGTCCCATCCCCTTCCTGAAGGGCCTAGAAGTTGGGGGAGGGGAGGCATAAGCAACAGGTGTGGGCATCCTGACCTTGTGGGCTGGGAACCATTCCTCAGCCGGCAGGATTCTGCTGGAAGAAGGTGTAACTCTTGGGTCAAAGTCTAAGGGGCTGGGAAGAAAGTAGTGAGGTCAGAGCCCCCAGAAGTGGGGAGATTCTCCAAGGGAGGCAAGGAAGGGAGGTGGGAGCGGGGGACTCAAGGGAGAGGGAGGATGTAAGGGTAGGGGCCGCAGTGAGAGGAGCCCCCAAGAACGGGAGGCCCTGCCGCCTACCCTGCACTTGGGAGGGCCCCCAAGTTGGAGGGGTTGAAAGAGTGGGTAAGGCTCAAGGGAGAGCAGGGCCCCCAAAGGCATCCCAGGGTCCCCTGGAGGGGGGTGGAAGCGGGGACTTAAGGGAATCCGTGAGCCCAGTGGGCTGGAGGCCCTGAAGGTCCAGTCTTGGGACTTTGTCCGAGGCCCGTGGGGGACAGTGAAAAGAAGGGGGATCCTAAGCTGGGGATGAGGCCGTGGGGCTCCCTGGTGGGCGAAGGAGAGCCCTGCGCGGGATTCCCCCCTCCAAGTTTCGCTCGGCATCTCCAGGCCTGGGAAGTGTCTCCCCGGACACCGCAGACGCCACACAACCGAAGAATGGCATCGGACCAGGTTAAATGCAGTAGCAAGAAAGTCCGGAGACCGTCCGGAGAGACGACAACCAATCAGAGAGCGAGAGCGAGTGCGCGCTCAGAAATGTAGCCAATCAAAGAGCGAGGGTGCTGGTTCGCGGCTCTGACGCCGGCAGGGGACTCGAAAGCAACGCGAACTCACTCGCCAATCAGAGCCAAGGATGACTGTCTCGCGCTGCCTACGTAATACGGAGTGGGCGGAGCTCAAACGTACGGCCGCCAGAGTTCCCCAGCGAATCGGAAGTTTCGCTGCCCCCGACTCGGGGGTTGATTGGTTACATTCAGAACTTGCCTGTCAATTTTGGAAGACGGATGAAGGACATTCCCTTAGAGACCCAAGAGCCCGCCTCCGCTCTCTAGTGTGGGAGGAGGGCCTTAAAGAGCCAGGTGCTTGGTAAGTTGACGTCCGACCTTGATCGCAGAAATAGGAGAAAACGGTAACAGAACAAAACGGGAAGCAATTCCGTTATGCAGGAATCGAGCAGGAAGCGCCAAATCGCGAAAAAGCGGGAATTCGAAAAGCTTAAACAGCTTGCTTTAGGTCCCACGCTTCTAAGTAGCGGAGCCGGGATTCGAACCCTCGTTTCCGACAAAATAGTCCTGCCTCTTTGGGATACGACGAAACGGATGGATGAGACCCGAATCTTAATCACACTCGCCAGGAAAGGAAGGCCTCTGCTTTGTGATAAAAATCTTTCGATTCCAGGGATGCTGGGTGGCCCGTTGGTTAAGCATCTGCCTGCAGCTCAGATCATGATCCCGGGGTCCTGGGACTGAGTCCTGCAACGGGCTCTCTGCTCAGCGGCTCTCTGCTCAGAGTCTGCTTCTCGCTCTCCCTCTGCCTGCCTTTCTGCCTGCTTGTGCTCTCTCTCTGTGTCTGTCTGACAAATACATAAAATCTTAAAAAAAAAAAAAAAAAAAAGTCTTTCGATTCCAGCCACCTGGCCTTTGCTCACACCATTTCTTCTACATCAAATACCCACTCATTCTAAACCTAGCCCAAAGGCTACCTCTCCTAAAAAAAAAAAAAAAAAAAAAACTCCCCAAAGAACCGCCCCGCCTGCAGGCAACAATGGTTTCCTGGCTCCCAAACTCACCCCTTTGCCCTTGGCAGCATTTTCCCCGCTTGGAGCTGTTGTCCTGTTCCTGTTTGCAAGCTCTGATCACCCTGGAATGTTACTGCCCATCTCTGTGTCTGGCCCCCACCCGTCAAGACAGACTCCTTTGAGGGCCGGTGACATCTCTTGAGTCACCAGCAACATCCAGCACACGGCCTAGATTCCAGAGAACTCAAAAAGTAAAAGGTCCTATCTGGGCGTTTCCATCCTTAAAGTGGGATGTTGTGAACTTACGTTAAAAAAAAAAAAATTCATATTAAAAAATACTGCTCTGGCTGAAAACTTCACGTTATCCTTTTTTTTTTTTTTTTTTTTAAGATTTTATTTATTTATTTGTCAGAGAGGGAGCACAAGCAGGGGGAGCTGCAGGCATAGGAGAAGCAGGCTCCCCGCTGAACAAGGAGCCCCACGTGGGACTCAATCCCAGGACTCTGGGATCATGACCTGAGCCAAAGGCAGATGCTTAACCAACTGAGCCACCCAGGAATCCCAGACTCTGCATTATCCTTGATTCCTCATTAATCACCCCCAGAAGCCCTACAGCAAATTCTGATGGTTCTTCTTCCAAAATACATCCTAAATCCTTTCACATCTTCCCATCCCCACTACCCCCACCCACCTTGGGAGTCACCACCACCCCTGGCCTGGAGTGATAGCAGCATCCTCCCTGGACTTGCTGTGACCACTCTTGCTTTCCACCAGAGCCTGTTCTCCAAACCGCTGACACAGTGCTTTTCTTAAAACATAAATCAAATTATGTCACACCTCAGCTTACAAATGCTCCAAGTCATCTCAATGCTCTAAAACTAAAACAAAACAAAACAACCACAAAAACACACACACACACACACACACAAAAACAAACAACAAAACCCCCCCCCAAAACCCCAAAGTCTTCAGTGCAGCCTACCAGTTCCTACATAATCTGGCTCCTACTTGTGTCTCCGTAAAGAGCACAGATTTGAGGTTCAAATTTCACTTGTGCCACTTCGTAGCTCTGTGACCTTGAGCAACTTACTTAGACTCTGAGGCACAGTTTGATAATATGTGAAGTGAGGATTAAGTACATTAGAATTCTCAAAAAAATAAATTAGAATTATTAATTAAAATGGACCTCTATTTTATAAAATAACTGAGTAGTATTCCTCAAAATTGTTAAGGTTGGGAAAAGCCAGGAAAGACTGAGAAGCTGCTGCTGAACAGAGGAGACAAAGGAGATGTGGTGATAAATGGCATCTTGCATCAGGTTCTGGAACAGAAAATAAAGGACTTTAGTGTGAAAACTGGTAAATTCCAAATAAAGTCTGGAGTTTGGCTAATAGTCATGTTAGTTTCTTAGTTGCAACAAAGGTTCCAGAGCAATGTAAGAAGATAACATTAGGGGAAGCTGGGTGAGGACTGTATGAGAACTCTGTAATATCTTTGTAACTTTTCTGTAAATACAAAGGTATTCCAACAGAGGGGTGCCTGGGTGGCTCAGTGGGTTAAGCATCTGCCTCGACTCCAGCCCATCTACTTTCCCCTCTGCCCTGAGGAGCATCCAGATGTCCTGATTGCCCTATCTAAATATCCCTTTAGTCCTAAAGAACATCATCAGGCCCACTGAGGAAATGGCCAGAAATACAGATGGAGATAGAGGAGGGGGCTGGGGTCCTGACTCCTGGGTCGGAGGGAGGAGGGGGCTGGGGGCCCAGATTGCTGGGTCTGAGCTTGGAAGAAACTCTGCGACCAGACTCCCGGGTCTCGGGGAGATGGGTGCTGCAGCCTGAGATACGTGGGGTTGAGGAATTAAATCCCACGACCCCAGCGTACTTCGCCGCGGCTCCGCACGCCCCAAGGGCCACGCCCCACCCCGGACAAAGTCCCGTCTACTTTCTTTCAGACCCCTCCGCGCCGCCCTGCGCCCTGGAGAAACCGGGTGGAAGGTGCCAGAAGCGACTTGAGACACCCCTGTAAAGATGGAACAGCAAGAGAAAGGGACTGGGCCCGAGGGGTAAGAGACGCAAGACCCTCCCCCCGGGGAGGACAGAGACCAGAGAGGGAAGGGGACAGAGAAAAACAGAGACAGAGTGGACTGACTCAAGGAGAGTGTCAGAAAAAGGAAAAAAAGGGCGCCTGGGTGGCTCAGTTGGTTAAGGGACTGCCTTCGGCTCAGGTCATGATCCTGGAGTCCCGGGATCGAGTCCCGCATCAGGCTCCCTGCTCAGCTGGGAGCCTGTTTCTCCCTCTGACCCTCCCCCCTCTCATGTGCTCTCTCTCTCTCTCTCTCTCTCTCATTCTCTCTGTCTCAAATAAATAACTAAATAAATCTTTAAAAAAAAAAAGGAAAAAAAAAGTCTCAAGTATCATCAGTTAGAAACAGAATCTCAGCAATCTTATTGACAGAGTTGAGCGAGATACTTAGGAATAGGGACACAGCTAGAAACAGATATTCGTGGAACAGGGAGAAATTTCAAGAAGGAGCCAGGAGAATCAAAGGTATCAGGAACAGCCATAGAGCTGGGGAAATAATAATAATAATTGTCAGACCCAGGCCTTTCCTATGCACCTTTGGTACCACCAAGAGCCATCTTTTGGTTTGAAAAATTAAGGTTCAGCACAGGGAAGTGATTGGCCTGGAAACACACCTTGAGCGAGGCAGCCTGGAGCTGGAATTTCATTCTGTCTGATGCTGAAGTTCTGGCTGAGGTGTCTGTCTCTCTGTAAAGAGAGATGGGAAGAATGAATGAGAGAAAGATTGAGAAACAGAGAGAGAGAGAGATTGAGAGAAGTGGGTAAGGAAGTCAGAGGTGGATGCAGAGCTGAATGGACTCCCAGGAAAAGGGCTGGACCACAGTAGGAAGGACAGAAAGAGATGGTGAGACCCATTGACCTGTCCTCTTGTCATTCCAGGAACAACCTGTCCCTGCCATCACCAGGGACCGAGCCGTGGACCCCTGCACCTTTCCCAGCCTTGCCACCTCTCCCCCTGGGCACCCCAGATCCAGCCCACCTGGGGCTCCCTGAGAGCTTGGCCTCTGTCACCGTCCCCATCCGTCTGGACGCCCTCTCCTACCTCCTGCACAGTGCCCTGCTGGGGGCCTACACCCTTCAACAGTCCTTGCCCTCCTGCCCCTGCACCCCCCAGACATGCTGCACCCAGCCAGGCACAGCCACAAGGCCATCCAGGGGACGCGGGGGCTGGGGCGTCCAGCGCAGGCCAGGCTGGGGCCAGGGCCAGCAGCGATGGCGACCCGGAAGGGCTGAGAGGGGCTGGCTGGGGGGGTCTGGGGCTGGCCCCAAGACTCCGCCGGTGATGCCAGCATCACCACCAACGCTGCCTGACCAGGATGGGAAGAAGGAAGCCCCAGGTCAGGAGCCACCCCAGGAGACGCCGCCTGCTGCAGCAGAAGACTGGGAGACAGAGTACTAGGACCCTGAAGGTCCAGCTCCCCAGACTCCTGAGAGGGGCCCCCAGGGTCACCAGGAGGCTTTTCCTGGAGCCCAGGGTGACCTCAGCTATGGCAGAGATACCCCAAGAAACATCCTGCTCCCGTGTTTCTTCTCCCAAAACCACAGCCTCAGGAGTGGGTCCTGCGAGTCACCCCATGAAAACTGGAGCTGATTTAGGATCCCACGCCAGCAAAAGCCCTGAGCCTCATATCTGTGCCCAAAGCCATGCCTCTCCCCATTCCCAGCACCACCTCCAACTACAGTGACAGCCCCAACCCCATCCCCCCTGCCTCTGTAGCCCCAGTCCTGTCCCCACTCTCAGTATCATATCCCCAACCCCACTCATTCCCATTTCCATCCCCATCTCCACCCTTAGTCCCAGCTCTGCACCCTCCTCCTCTACCTACCTCAGGCCAACCCAATCCTCATCCTTAACTGCCTCCTAAACTTGACCCCAAACCCAGCCCATCTTCAACCCCAGCCAACCCCATCCCATCCTCCTTCTGGTCCCAGCCCCAACCATGACGTGCCCTGTGACCCACCTGCAAAGAACCCCATTGGCCCAACATACCCAGACACCTGCCACCCCCCCGACCCCGTTTCCTGCCCTTGGGGGTGGGGAGCCTTGGTTGAACAATAAATGGATGACTGCCCCATGTCTTGTGTCTCTGTGTGTGTGCTTACGCAGCTCAGGCTAACCCAGCGGGTGCTGTGAGCAAGGCCTGTGAAAGGGTGGTAGGGTCGTTGGGAGGGTCACAGAGAGAGGCCAGTGGGGCCAGGGGTTGCAGGGAGGGAGCACTTGGATCCCTGTTTCAGCGAATTCCATTTGGGGCCTCTGCCACCATGGCATTTTTGCCTGCTGGAAGCTGCTGGGCCACGGGCCATTGTGTGGGGAGGCTTAAGGGATTTGGGGGACCCAGGGAGCAGAGAGGCCAGCAACCTGGCTCAGCTCAGTCCGCACAGAAGGGCCGAGGCAGACAGAGGGCTTGTGACGGGCTCTGCCACTCAGGTAGGGACCAGGCATTGGACCTATAGGCCCCCTCCTCCACCAAGACCTAAGGGTCCTTCCTCTCCCGGGGGGCCTGGTGGGGTCCCAGCCCCTAGCCCCCTCCTCACCTGGGATCTGAAGTCTAGGTCCCCAGTTCCTCCTTCCTCAACTGGGAGTCCAGATCCTGACCCCATCTCTCCCCGTCTCCACAGATCACCATGTACAGCTTCATGGGTGGCGGCCTCTTCTGTGCCTGGGTGGGGACCATCCTCCTGGTGGTGGCCACAGCGACAGACCACTGGATGCAGTACCGACTGTCGGGGTCCTTCGCCCACCAGGGCCTGTGGCGATACTGTCTGGGCAACAAGTGCTACCTGCAAACAGAGAGCATCGGTAAGGCTCCGGGGCGGGGTCTGCGCCGGGCCTGGGGTGAGAGCCCCCCGCAGGGCACAACCTCACCACCTGTTCGGCTTGCGGAGAACTCTGTGGCTCAGAGAGGGAAAGGGACCAGCCAAAGATTGCTCAGCACAGAAGAGGCAGAACTGGGATTTCAGGCTTTTTTTCTAGTACAATTACTCCTGGCACGGAGTCAGGTAGAGCGGTTGGGGGTGGGGCTGGGGTTGTCCGAATAGCCTTTCCTCAATATCGATGACGTATCAAGGACTCGGCTGGGTACTGTGGGATACAGAAGCGATACGGACCCTAAATTTGCTAAATACTGGATGGGAGTTTTTAAAACCTGCTGTGCGCCAGGCTTTGTAATATATATGTCTATATGTACATGTCTATATGTGTATATGTATATATGTGCATATTATAATATATGTTGTAAAAATGGAGAAAAATAGCTCTTCCAGCATAAGGTTCTTGCAAGCTACATTATTATAATATGTATTATATATAAGATGACATATATTATCTAATATACTATATATCTCTATGTATCTCGCTCCATATGTATATACATATACATATGTACATACATACATATATACATATATGTGGAAAGATACTCACATATATTGTATATTATATCATAATATATAATGTGCACTATATATTAATAAATCAATAATATACAATATGCATATACAGTAATAAATTAATAATATACAATGTGTATTATATATTAATAAATTAATAATATACAATATTACATATTTTATATGTACTAAATAGTGTAGTGGGAGTAGTGGGAGTAATAATAATAACGACTGGCATTTATTGACTGTTATTGAGTCCTACATGCTATTCTAAGTGCTTGATGTGGACTAATGCCCTTGGTCTCCCAGCAACACTGAGAGTGGTGCCACTGTGTCTAGGAATAAAGCATGAGACTTGCCCTCAAAACTCCAAACATTCTCTCCAGGGGGTTTTGGGAGGAGGAGCCAACCCTCCTGAGCCCCGCGACCGGCCAGATTTCAGCCACTCCATCTCACTGAACCTGCCTGGGGAGAGGCAGCAGAATGCCCCTGTGCAGGAGGGGTAAACCGAGGCAGGAAGCAGTGGAAAGACATGCCCCAGCCGCCAGCTCCCGAGCCCAGTCAGCCTCCTGACTTCATGCATGCCTTTCATTTCCGGAGGTCTCATTCGTCATGCTTCTACCATTTCTCCCGCTTCAGCCTGGGAAGGCCCCAAGGACATCCCCTCTGTCTTCTCTCTGTTGGGGATGGGGGGAGAAGGAGGCATGATGGAGGTCTGCAAGTTCATTTGACCTCAAAACCGAAATCCTCAGGGACATACCTCACCCTGATTGACTGCTGGGTATGTGTTCAAGCAGCTGGCTCACCGTGCACATCAATTGTAACTTGTTCACCAGACTCCGAGCAGGAGACATGAACTTGCAGGGGCCAAACCCAGCCGCAGACGCGTGTGTATAGCGTTTTTAAAGTTTCTTACGTCTCTGCCAGAATTTTAAAATTTGGAGATTTTAGGTATAAAAATCGGGACTTGTAGCTGTCTTTGAAAAATCCAGTTTTGCATCCTTCAAAGGTGGTCTCCCAGTCAGCGTCCCTCAGGAGACAGGTAGCACACCGTGATTTGAACAGGGAGAGTTTTCTCTGAAGATGGAACTGAGAGGCAGTGATGGGTAACTGGGGATGGGACACCACAGCCCCCACCTCAGCCTGCTGGGGGACAGATAAGCTGCTCTTTTTTGCAGCTACAGGCAAGCCTCAGAGGCGTTTGCATTTTCCACTCCCACCTCACCACAACCAGGGGAAGGACATAGGCGAAAACATGCCCCATAAGTCCTCCAGACTTTTATTTATTTTTTTAAGATTTTATTTATTTGACAGAGAGAGACACAGCAAGAGAGGGAACACAAGCAGGGGGAGTGGGAGAGGGAAGAGCAGTCTTCCCGCTGAGCAGGGAGCCAGATGTGGGGCTCGATCCCAGGACTCTGGGGTCAGGACCTGAGCCGAAGGCAGACGCCTAACGATGGAGCCACCCAGGCGCCCCCCTGCAGACTTTTAAATACCCAGAGGCATCCGTAGTTTCCTGGGGCTGCCATGACAAAGGACCACAGACTGAGTGACTCCAACAACAGAAATGTACCGTCTCACAGCTCTGGAGGCTGGAAGTCTAATAACCAAGGTGTCGCAGAGTTGGTTCCTTCTGAGGCTATGAGGGATAATCTGTTGCCTGCGTCTCTCCCAGCTTCTGGTGGTGGTTGTCTGGCAATCTTTGGCACTCCTTGGCATGTCAATGCATCATCCTGATCTCTGTCTCCATCTTCACATGGTACCCCCCACCCTCCTAAATGTCTGTCTTTCTCCAAATTTCCCCATTTTGTGAGGATACTAAGTCGTTTTGGATTAGGAATCCGCTCTGCTCCAGTAGGACCTCATCTTAACTTCTACATATGAATTTGGGGGTTGGGGGAGAGACACCGTTCAACCCGTAACAACAGCCATGGAGAAACAGCCAGCAATTTTTCTTACTGAGGTTCACACAAGACAAAAGAGTGCATTTTGCAAAGATCCAGACTTTTTATTTTTCAGTGGCAGGATCCAGGCTCTGTCCCAGGTACACAGGTGTCATGGGTCCTCTGAGAGACAGAATAGCCAAGCAGTTAAGAACAAGGGCTTTGGTGCTTGGTTGTCAACGCCAGTCATAGTGCCAATTATGGGACCCTGGATAAATCACTCTACCTCTCTCAGCCTTAGTTTCTTCACACCTGAAAAATGGGGATTAAAAATAGTACATACAGCAAGATGAGATCATAACTATTATTCCCAGGGCATGTCCTAAAGGGCCAGCCCAGAGCCAAGCACAAGAGACGAATGATTCTCAGTGCTCCACGTTCATTCACTCAGCATGTGCCCTGAGCACCCGTTATGCGCCATGCGCCTGGTGCTAGAGATGCAGCAGTGAATGAGAAAGCAAGACCTTTGTCTTCACATAACTGAGCAACCAGCAGGGAAAGACAGACATAAATAAGTTAAAAATAAATAAATAGGTCATTTTCAGGTATGGGCAAGTGGTTATCAAGGAAATGAAAGGGAGTGGTGGGAGAGAGGGTAGGAAGTGATTAGCAGGAGGATAGCGGGGAATCAACACTCATTCATCATTCATTCATTCATTCATTCATTCATCCATCCACCAAACATTTCTCCAGGCCTGTTTGCAGACCAAACTTGTGCTGAGGATGTTCTCCAGGTAGAATCCTGGCCTCAGGGAGCAATCAGGCTGGAAGGGGAAACAATCCAAAGAGCCACAGCCCAGAGCAGGGGATGAGGATGATAACTGAGGGGTGAAAGGGTACTTCCCAGAGGGGATTTGGGAGCTGGGCTGTGGAAGATGAATAGGAGCTTGCCAGGGGAAGAGAGCATTTGTTTGCAGAGGTGAAGGAGGAGGTGGGTCAGGGACGTGGAGAGAGGCAAGGCATCCCGGCCCTCAGGGGTAGCAGCTTTCGCCACTGAGGGCAGGGGTTGGCATGGGAGTGACCGTTCGGTGCTACCACAGCTTATTGGAATGCCACCCGGGCCTTCATGATCCTGTCCTCCCTGTGCGCGACATCGGGCATCATCATGGGCATCCTGGCCTTCGCTCAGCAGCCCACCTTCACCCGCCTCTCCCGGCCCTTCTCCGCGGGCATCATGTTTTTCGCCTCCAGTGAGTGGACCCACCTTCCCCGTCTCCCCACCCCGACCCCTAACGTCCCTGCCCATTTCCATCCCCAGTACCACTCTCATGGGGGGAGGGGTTCCTCCTCATTCTCAGCTCCATGGCCATCCTAGTCGCACCCAACCCCAACCTCAACTCCAAGACTGGTTCTAATGCCTAATGCCAGCGTCTTCTCACATCAGCCGCCGTCCCGTGGCTCGGGGCCAGCACTAACCACCGCCCAGGTTTAAGGGCGTGATTCCTAACAAGGCTGCCCCTACTTCAGTTGCAAGAGGGGTCCTCAGGTCATCTGCCCTTTTGACCCCTGGCTACAGGTGGTTCAGGGGTCCCCAGGACCCAGCCAGTTTCAAAAATTTGCTAGAAGTCACAGAACTCAAGAGAGCATTCCACTTACAATTACAGATTTATTATAAAGGGCACACCTCAGCACCAGCTTTATCAAGAGATGCATAGGGTGAAGCCGGAGAGGGTCTTAAAGGCAGAGCTTCTGCATCCTCCCCCCATGGTGTCCCACTGAGCTGTTCACCAGCCAGGAAGCTCCCGTACACTTCGGTATCCGGAGTTCCTGCTGGAGTTTCATTGACTGAGTCGTTGACCCTGTGACTGAACTTAATCTCTAGCTTCCTTCCCAGGATACCAAGTGGCTTAAAGCCCCTACCGGCTGTTCTGTTCCCGTGGCTGGTCCTTCTGGTGACCAGGTCCTACCCACTGTCATCTCAGCTCATCAACATAAATCCAAGAGGCTCAACAATAACAAAGACACCCGTATTGATCAGGAAATTCCAAGGATTTAGCGTCTCCCTCCCAGGAACCAGAGCCCCAAACCAGCCCGTTCAAATTCTTTATTACACAGCACAGCCCCGTCCCATCCCCACCCCAACCCTACTCCCGAGGCACCCTCACCCTTTTCCCTTCCCACTCCTACCCGGCCCTCTGCCTTCCTCAATCTCACTCCCACCCTGATCTGGAAAATCCCACCCCCACCCCTTTTCCCACCCACCTCCCCCCATCTTCTCTCCCCAGCCTTTTTTGTCCTGTTGGCCTTGGCCATTTACACTGGAGTCACTCTGAGCTTCCTCGGTCGCCGCTTTGGGGACTGGCGCTTTTCCTGGTCTTACATCCTGGGCTGGGTGGCCTTGCTCATGACCTTCTTCGCAGGTACGAGGGCTTGGGGGTGGGAAGTTCAGCGTCCGTGGCAGAGTGGGCAGCACTCCAGAGGGCGAGATGATGGGGTATCCCACAGGGCCTCCCCCCAGCATTGAGCCAGAAGACAGACACCCAGGGAGAGAGGGAGTGCTGTTTTGGGGTCTTGGGTTGGGAGCCCAGGTTAGGAGGACTTGGGGGCCAAGTGGGATCTCTTCTCACGCAGGGATTTTCTACATGTGTGCCTACCGGATGCATGAATGTCGGCGCCCGTCTGCTCCCCGCTGAGCCCAATGTACCCCCAACTTCATCTGGAAGTTAAAATGGGGCCACTGAAAAGGAGGGGGAGGGTCTAGAGGCCTGAAGTCCTGGTTCCTTTGGGCAGGAGGGGGCTCAGTCCTGGACTCTGGGTGGGGGCCTCTGACTCCTGCGTCCCAAGGGGGAAGGAGGGAGAAGGGGGCCTGGTGGGAGGCAGTTGAGATGACCCAAGGCCCAGCCCACGAAGAGGGGGTGTTAGAGAAATGGGATCTCCAGTTAGAGCGACTTTTTGAGAGCCTAATAAAACTGATATGAAACTACTAAGGTGTGGTCCTTGAGGGGTTGGGGTGATGAGAAACAGGTGTGAGTGGTGGATGGGGTGGGGGTGGTTGGATTACTGCAGGCCAACCTGCTCGGTCTCCGTAGGGATGGGGACAGACATGAATCACACAGTCCCCACCCAGGGGTTAACTATGACCTCTAGGAAACAGATGTGTAGGTCCAATTCTTGGTGTGTGTGTGTGTGTGTGTGTGTGTTTTTTCCTAATCCCACATCACCGAGCAACTCAGTTCTGACACTATCTATGCAGAGGTAGTGTTAGATCCCACAAGTGGAGGACTCGGTCCTAAAGACTGCCCCCCACCCCCACCTCAGATGCCATCCACAAGTGCGGCTTCTCGCCTGGGCTTCTGGTCGACCAGCAGTAGATTGGAGGTTTCCATGACTCACTCTTTGGGTTTGATTAATTTGCTAGAGCAGCTCACAGAACTCAGAGAAAGATTCTACTTACTAGATCACCAGTTTACTATAAAAGGATATAACTCAGGAACAGCCAGATGGAAGGGACGCAGAGGGCAAGGTGTGGGAAGAGGGCAAGGGGCTTCTGTGCCCTCTCCAGGGGGCCACTCTCCCCATTATGCATGCATTCACCAACCTGGAAGCTCTCTGAACCCAGTCTTTGTGGGTTTTCATGGTGGCTTCATTACACACAGGCATCCTTGAGTGCATCATCGGCCACTGGTGATTACTCAGTCTTCAGCCCCTCCCTCCCCAGGTTGGGGACTGGGACTGAAAGTTCCACACCTGGTTGGTTCCCCTGGCAACCTGCCCTTACTCTCAAGTGCTTACCCTGGGCCCCCAGTTGCTTCATTAATGTAGCAAATACACCTTCAAGGCCCTCATCACCTGTGAAATTCCAAGGCTTTTAGCAGCTTTGTGCCAGGAACAGCACAAAGACCAAAGACCAAATATGTATTTCTTATGAATCATAAGATCAGTGGGATAATACAATAAATGAAAAGATCTGTGGAAAAGACCACCTCGCCGTCCACTCACATCGTCTCCAGTCAGCATTCCTAACCGCCCCTCCCCTCCCTGGATGGGCCTCTCCAACTGGAAGCACCAGATCTCTGATCTGCACCCCCTCCTGACTCTTCACACACCATTCATGACCTTGACCTTCTCATTCACTCATTCATTACTTCATTCAATAAGCTGTGCCCAATTGCCATGAGATTTACTGATATCTATCATAAAATAATAAGACTATTTAGCAAGGCCCATTCTAACAATAAGAATATTAATTACAACCTACGCTAAAACTGTCATATTAATAGAGGCTTACTCCCTAGAAATATTTACTGGGGACTCCACAAATAACAATAATACCATATTTATAGAGGCTTACTCTACTAACAATGGCAATTGAGGCCTTCTCTAATCGTAATTTATTGAGGTCTATTTAAGTAGACATATTTACCGAGGCTTCCTCCAGGAATCATATTTATAGGAGTTTATTCTAGCAATAATAATTATGTGGTAACTCCAGACTCATCTCTGATATCCACTTGAAAAGAAGAGGCATCTCAAATCTCCCGTGTCTTAGTCTCTCCCACATCCCACACCAACTCCTCCCATATCTCCCCATCTTGCCCCGTTGTCATTCAGCTGCTCCAGCCAAGAGTGTTGGGATCGTCCTCAGCTGCTTTGTTGCGTCCCACATCTGATTCATCAGTAAGTGCCGTTGGCTCCTACCTTAAAAATGTGTCCAGGAAGAATGAAGGGGGGGAAATCGGAGGGGGAGACGAACCATGAGAGACAATGGACTCTGAAAAACAAACTGAGGGTTCTAGAGGGGAGGGGGGTGGGGGGATGGGTTAGCCCGGTGATGGGTATTAAAGAGGGCACATTCTGCATGGATCACTGGGTGTTATGCACAAACAATGAATCATGGAACACTACATCAGAAACTAATGATGTAATGTATGGTGATTAACATAACAATAAAAAGATTTTTAAAAATGTGCCCAGAATTTGATTCCTTGCTCATCCAGTTACCACCCTGATCTTGTTTCACTGGGCTTATGGCCTCAGCCTTCTAACCGGCTCTGCCAGTGCCCCTTCCCTCCTTCTGCTCCCCCGGCAGTCCATTCTCTACACAGAGGGATTTTCGTTAAGGCATGATTCAAATCACATCACCCCTCAGCTCTAAACCCCCCAGTGGCTCCCAGCTCCAATGAAAAGCTAGTCTATCAAGGTCATACAAGATGCCCCGTGTTCCAGATCCCCGCTAACTCTTTGACTCAATCCTCCCTCCCTCACTGCAGCTTAGGGGCCCCCAAGACCGCCTTCAGTTTCGACGGTTCGCCAGAAGGAATCACTGGAAAGCTGTTATGCTCATGATTACAGATGATCATAGCAGAAAGGATACAGATGCAAATCAGCCAAGGGAAGAGGCTCGTAGGCAGCGTCCAGACCAGGTGTGAGCTTCCAATTGTCCTCTCCCAGTGGAGTCACACGGACAGCACTCACCGCGTCCACCAACAATGTGTGACGATCTGCACAGAGGATTGCCCGCTGGGGAAGTTCAGTCCAGCCTTGGCGTCCAGGGGTTTCACTGTCCAGGGTCTGAGGCAGTTCTGTAGGCATGGAGAAATCACATGGCTGACCTCAGCTACTCAGTCTTCGGCCCCTTCAGGGGCCATCCTGACATGGCGTGGCCCAGGGCCCCCGCCATAAACCACACAGACAGGACATACTATCTAGTGTGGCTCAAGGACCCCAGGTGTTCAAAGACACTTATCAGGCAGGACATGCCAAGGATTTAGAAGTTCCTTTTCGGGCGCCTGAGTGGCTCAGTTGTTACGCGGCTGCCTTCGGCTCAGGTCATGATCCCAGGGTCCTGGGATCGAGTCCCACATCGGGCTCCCTGCTCTGCGTGGAGCCTGCTTCTCCCTCTCCCACTCCCCCTGCTTGTGTTCCTGCTCTCGCTGTCTCTCTCTCTGTCAAATAAATAAATAAAACCTTAAAAAAAAAAAAAGTTCCTTTTCAGGGGACAGGCCACTCTAATCCTTTGTCAAGGTTAATGCTTGGCTTCTCACTTACTCTGCTCTGAGCCTTGCTGGCCACCAGGCTGGCACAGGGGTGCGCTGCCCCTCCCGGACGGCTCTTTCCAAATGTCTGTCAGGTTTTTACCCCAAAGTTACCTTTTTCACCGAGATGCCACTGACTACCTTATCTGAAATCACAACGCACTTCCTCTCCCACTTGTTTGTTTTGCTTTTAAATATTTTACGTAATCCCTACACCCAACGTGGGGTTCGAACTCACGATCCTGAGATCCAGAGTCGCATACTCCACCGACCGAGCCAGCCAGGTGCCCCTCAGCTCACTATTCTTAGCTGATAGTTTCCATCTAACGTTCTTTATTTTTTTTTACACCAGAGTGGATACATGAAGCTACATTCTACTAGACAACAATTAGACTAAAAGATTTAGTACATTTTTATCATCATGATAGACTGCGTTAAATATTATTCTTCTTTTTTTTTTAAGATTTTATTTATTTATTTGACAGAGAGAGACACAGCGAGAGAGGGAACACAAGCAGGGGGAGTGGGAGAGGGAGAAGCAGGCTTCCCGCCGAGCAGGGAGCCCGATGCGGGGCTCGATCCCAGGACCCTGAGATCATGACCTGAGCCGAAGGCAGCCGCTTAACGACTGAGCCACCCAGGCGCCCCCTGCGTTAAATATTATTACAGAGTAGGCCTCAATAGAAATGAGGGTGCCTTCCATAATAACTGGTTATAAGCAGCATTCGCGTCTTTACCATAGTGTGTATAGTGTAGGTTCGGCGAGGGTGAGGGACTCATGTGCTTTGCACACCGGTATTCCCTCAGGGCGTGGCATAGTGCCTGACCTATAAGAAGTGCTGGTTGAGTCAAATGTTTCTAGGGGCGCCTGGGTGGCTCAGTCGGTTAAGGGTTGGACTCTTGATTTTGGCTCAGGTCATGATCTCGGGGTCGTGGGATGGAGCCCCGCACTGGGCTCTGGGCTGAGCATGGAGCCTGCCTGGGATTCTCTCTCCCTCTCCCTCCCTGCTCGTGCTCTCTCTGGAGGTAAGGATGGGGTAGAGATTGCAGATGGGCTCTGTGCTCTGGCACTCCCTTTACCACACACCCATGGCCCAGATTCCTGAAGCCTGTCCGCGGCTCTTCACTAGACCTACACGCACCACCATTTTTGTGTCGGTGTCCCTGCTGCTTATGACCTGAATCTGCCCCTGGGAGCCTGTCCTCGTGAGCATGTTCTCAGGAGTGGCCAGTTACCTCGGTGGTGAGGGTCTGGGTGAGAGATGGGGGCTGGCAAACTGGAGTCTCCAATAACGGAAGAGGCGCTGGCCTCTTGAGTCCCTCTGGGTCTCCCCTTCACCAGCTGTGGTGGGACTGCTGGCTCAGGTCATCTTCGTGACAGAGGTCCTCTTCCAGGCCTTTCCCCTATTCATAGAGGTCACATGTGCCTGCACCTTCTACCTGGGCTGTGGCACCTTCACACCTTCACCTGACACCTGCTCATCCCGATCCCTGTATGGGAGGAGGAGGCCAGTGCTGGGAGGGTGGGACGGTCCTGTGTGCCTGCCCCTGCCCCTCAGGTACCCTGATTTTGGCACTGAAGCCCACCACACGGGAGGCCCTTCTCAAGGCAGAGCTGTCTGTGAACTTTTATCAGAGGAGGATGTGGACGTGTCTTGCTCTCCACAAACTTCCAGAATTGTGATTCTCCACCATTTGCTTGCCCTGGGGATAAGCTCCATGCAGGGATCCAGGAGTCTGAGCCCCTGCCTGCCTGCCTCCTCCTCAGGACTCGAGTCCAGGCATCCAGCCCTCTTTTCCTTCAGTTGCAAGCATCCCGGCCTCCAGTCCCCTCCTTCCACAGAGACACTAGAATTGGGGCCTCCCTCTTCCAGAATGGAAGGTTGCAGAACCCACAGGAAAGCATGACACAACCCCCAACTGTCCCCTTTGGCCACATCCCCCCGTTTAACTCACACCCTGGTCTCATCTATCACCTCCCACCATGGGGCCCCCAAGCCTCTCTCACACCTCTTCCAGGAAGTCTCCTCTGATGTTGAGGGTTCCAAGGGTGGGAGGTATAGAACCTAAAACAGAGGCAAGTTCTGAACCACCATCCAAACCACTGATGATGTGACACCCTCCCCACCACACACTGTGAGGGGAACCGGACCTCTGTGGGAGGAGGATGTTGTCGGGGCAACCAGGAAGGGAGGGTGTAGGGCAAGACTCATCTCCCCGGAACTAAGTGAAACAAAACTGGCCTGGTTTTAAAGTCTTAAAGGCTTCTCTTTCTTGAGCTCAGAGGACCCGAGTCCAGATCACCAGCCTCTTCATCCCCAGGACCCAGACACCCAGTACTCACCTCCATGGAGCTCTGTCGGTCCCTGGCCCTACTCACTGGCTCCCTGGGCCTGGTGTCCATCCTGATTGCTCTGAGCACGGATTTCTGGTTTGTGGCTAAGGGGCCCGGGTTTTCATTTCACTCGGGGCTCTGGCCAAAGGAGTTTCACACCGAGGTACCAGGTAAGGGATAGTGGTCCCTCTCCTGTTGGGGGTGGTGGGCTGCCGGAGGGGCAGGCACCGACGTCTTACCTCCGAGCAGACTACATCCGTGCGACGCAGAGCCTCAGCATTCTGGCCACCCTGTTGGGACTGATGTCGGTGATCTTCCTGATCACGTCCTGCATCCCCTCACTGTCCGCTCGAGGCTACGGGCCCCTCGTCTCTTCTACCATGGCTTTTGCTGCAGGTAGACTCCGGGCTGCACTTGGGCTCTGGGGACTGGTGGGTTCCCGCAGAGGGCCTGAGCCCTCTCTCTTGTCTTCATCCCCAGCCATTTTTGCAGTGGTGGCCATGGTGGTCTACACCAGCGAGCGGTGGAACCAGCCTCAACACCCCCAGATCCAGACCTTCTTCTCCTGGTCCTTCTACCTGGGCTGGGTTTCAGCTGTCCTCTTGCTCTGTACAGGTTACTGCTCCTCCCGGACCTGGAGAGGGCAGCTGGGGGCTCTGAGACAGCAGGGTGAGGGCTAATGCTAACCTCTTTCTGCCACCCCCAGGTAGCCTGAGTCTGGGGGCTTACTGTAGTGGCCCCCGGCCTGGCTATGATGCCTTGTGAGCCGGAGGCGAGACAGGCAGGATGAAGCACTATCCGCGGAAGACCTCATCAGGAGCCGCAGGCCCCCGCAGCCCTCCCTCTAGCCCTTACCCCCAGCCCTCCCGCAACCCCTCCATTTGTTTCTTCATCCATTCAACAAAAATTTGCCGGGATCTGGTTATTCTGAGATTAATTCAGCCACGACATTAGCTGAGGGCAAGCCAGCTCCCTGGTGGGCGACACTAAGCGCCTAGAAAGGAGTCAGAGCCCCCACCTGCCATCAGGTGGACTCAGGCACGGCCCCATGTTGGCCCCCTTCTCCCGCCCTTGTCTTTCTCTGTGTTTCTACCTTGAAACCCCATCCTTTCTCTTTTCTCCTTGGTCTTTCCCACTTCAGTGCTCTTTCCTTCTCACCCTCTCCCTGATTTTGTCACCCTTGTCTTCACTCTGGTCTTCCTCGCTCACTTCATTAATTCATTTACTCCTTCAGCTGGCTTTTCCTGAGCTCATCCTTTCTGCTTGGTCTCACTGGGGATGCCGATGGGAGTCTGACCCGGGCCCTGCCCACTGGGGGCTGCAAGTCTGGTGGGGGAGGTGAGACAGCAGGCAGAGCCCAGGATGGTGAGGAGAAAGACTGACTGTGTCAGGGGTGGGGGGTTGGGGGGAGCTTTCTGGGGTGAGGGTGTTTAGAGGCTTCTCGAGGGCCAAGGAAAGGCCATCCAGGCAGAGGGACCCAAAGGTGGAGGTGTGGAAAGCCTGGAAGTTTTCAGGGGATAGAGAACAGTGCTTTGTGGTGGAATGTAGAACGCAGGGGTGGTGGGGCATGAGGATGGAGAAGCAGGTGGGAGCAAGGGCCCCGACGGTGACAGTGAATCTCTCCTGAGGGCAATGGGGAGCTAGGAGGAGGTTGTGAGCCGGGGAAGGACAACGCCAGTTCCAGGTGCCAGAAAGACCCCTCTGGGACGTGCAGGGAGGCCCAAAGGGAGAGAGGAGCTTGGCAACGCAATGGGTGCGACTGGGACCAGGGCATGAGGTGGGAAAGAGGGAAGGAGCCAGAGAGATTCGGGGGGAGGGGGCAGAAGGAACCAGACTCAGGGATTCAAGGGCCTTGTGGAGTGATGGGCAAGAGGGAGCAAGGATAGTGCCCAGGGGTGCGGCACAATCAACCGGGTGAGACGGTAGAGTCATCCCTGGTTTGGTGGAAGATGCTGAGCTCAGCTGGGGATATGGTTGTCGGGGGTCTGGGAGAGAGACCCAGTGAGGAAGCTCCTCTGGTAAGAAGGAGCAGGACGGAGGTTCCAGGGAAACGGGCACTAAGTGGAGGGAGGAGGAGGAGCAGGGGCTTGTGTGGGGACCCAAGGGGGCACAGTCGGAGAGCTGGGGACCTGCAGAGGTTATGAGATCAAGGGAAGCGTTTTCACAAGGTTATGGTCTACTATGTCATGGCCTTTCGGCTCCCCCCAGACCTGCCATCTGACTCTGAGCTGTCTCTGTGCTAGAAGAGTTGCTTAGGTGTGTGCGTATGTGTGTGTATGGGTGGGTGGGTGGTTATCTCTTTAAATGGCTGATGGGAGAGGGGATTCTGGAACTCCTCCTGCCTCACAGAGACCCAGTCTCCCTTCCCCCACCCCTCTGGACTCTGTCTAAGAAACCCTGGGAGCTGGGTGTGAGTCATCCAGGTGGGTGTGTGCATGGGGGTGGGGAGGGCACTGGACAGGCTAAAGGGACGTTACACTGGTGAAAGACAGGGTCTCTAAGCAGTGATTCCTTGGGGGTGAGGTCTCAAGGCCCCCAATAGGAGCAGTAGGTGATGAAGGTGTTGGGTTTGGGGAGGGCCTGAAGGAGGGGCCCCCAGACAGCGGTGCTGGGGTGCAGTCAGACATGGAGGGACATGTGGGAGGGGGTCTCAAGGACTTGAAGGACCCGGGAGGGGGGTCTGGGGACGGGAGGGGTGTTGGCCAATCTTGCATGTGTGGCCCTCGGCAGCAGCCTCCCTGGCATGGGGGTGAAGCAGAGCCTTCGGAGCGGGGGCACCTTGCTGGGCTTGTTGGCCCAAATCCTCACGATTCTCTCCACTGCCACCAACTACTGGATCCGCTACCCCGGGGGCCACAGTGGTCTCTGGCAGGAGTGTAATGGCCGCACCTGCTCCAACATCCCCTGCCAGAGTGAGGCCCTGCCCGCCCTGATGTCCCCCACTGGACAGACAGCCCCCAGCACAGGCCACAGCTGGGCACATCCTGCGGCGCCCCCACCCTCGCCCCTCCCACTCCAGTCTCAGGTCCACCTGCTCCCCCGCGACACGAACCCCCACTTCGGGACCTACTTCCCTGTTGCGACATTAACTGCCCCTCATGAAGTAACTTCCAAGTTCCCATCCAAACCGTCAACTCTGCTCCCAGCCCCGTACCGGCGGGTCGGGGTGGTGGCCAGGGCCGGAGCCAGCGCGGGGCTGAGGCGGCCGCTCTCCCCAGCCATGCTGGCGGTGACCGGGGCGTGCATGGTGCTGGCGGCGGCCTCCGGCGTCATGGGTTTTGTGATGGGGCTGCGGATTCTGTGCCACGAGGGCGACTCGCGGGGCCAGACTACGAGCGGCATCTTCTTCCTCTACGGTGAGACGGCAGCGGGCCCTCAGGCACAGGGTGGGCCTGGGGGCTGCAGGGGGCAGGGGCCCGGGGGTCGCGCTTTCAGGCGCGGGGACGCGGGTGGGGGAGGGGCCGGAGACCCAGAGGAGGGGGCGGGGCTGGGAGGAGGGGGCGTGGCCCGGGCGATGGGCGCGGTCTGGGTGGGGCCTGGCTGCAGCCCCCCGGCCAAGCTCACGGGGTGCGCGGGGCCCAGGCTTGCTGCTGCTGATCGCCTTGACAGGCTACACCGTGAAGAACGCGTGGAAAAACGACGTCTTCTTCTCGTGGTCCTATTTTTCGGGGTGGCTGGCTTTACCCTTCTCTATTTTCGCGGGTAACCTGGACAGCGGGAAGAGGGTGGAGGAGACTGCCCAGAGGAGCCCCTTCCCCGCAGACTCCCAGCCGCCCTCCCAGGGACTCCTCAACACACTCCGCTCCCGACTCCCGCAGACCCGGCAGGGGCGCCCTCGGGGCCCCAAACCCCAGTCCCCGGGGCGCTCCCGGCCATCTGCCCCAGGACCCACCGTCCCCCACCCGCCCTCCGCTCCCCTCCCGCCAGGCTTCAGCTTTCTGCTGGCGGACATGATCATGCAGAGCACGGATGCCATCAGCGGATTCCCCGTGTGCTTGTGACCGCAGCCTGGGGCAGAATAAAGGAACGGCTTTCACCGCCGCGGCTCCGCGTGCCTTTCTGGGGGCCGTGAGGACACGGGGGACACGAACGCACGCGGGAACATGGATATGAAGAGGAGGGGGGATTGGGACACGGGGGTACCTGGGGGTTCAGGGAGGACATAAGCACATTAACCTGTAGGGAACGAGGAACACGGGGACACGAGCATGGATGGAGTGGACAAGGCGCATGGGCTCGGAGGGGGAACGGGGCACAGGGGTGGTGGGGTCAGGAGAGCACATGGGCTCTTGGAAAGGATGTAGGGACATGGACGCGGGAAAACGGATACAGGGGAACCTAAGAGGCATGATCGTGGGACGAGGAACATGGCAAGAAGAGAATGGGGAGACAGACACAAGAGGACGCAGGGAATGCGGGCATAGCGACTTGCAGAAGCGAGGGAAACGTGGGGAACTGGGGGAGGGATAAATCGAGGGCGTTGGGAAAAGTTTAGGAGGCCTGGGAGGAGCTCCACTCCGGGAGCACCTCCCTCTGCGCACGACCTTTCCCCTAGTTCCCGGCCACGCCCCCTTCACTAAGTCCTTTTCCCTTCCCCTCAGCTCCCGCCTCTTTCTCCAGAATCCGTTCTCCATTGGTCCGAATCCTCTTGCCACACCTCCCTCCCCTCCGGGCCTCCGATTGGTCCTTTGTCAGGGCGGAGGCGGGCACCGCCGCGGTTGACTGGCTGGCGGCGCGGGGCGCAGGCGCAGGGCAGGGGGGGCGGGACGTCTGGATCCAGAGGCCGAGCGAGCGGACCGAGGCCGCAGGTGGCCGCGGCAGGAAGATGGCGGAGCTGCGCGCGCTCGTGGCTGTAAAGAGGGTCATCGACTTTGCCGTGAAGGTGACCGGGCCCCCACTTCCACCTCCCCCGAACCCCGAAACTGTATGGGGGGGTCTGCTCGTACATCTGATCTCTGCCGCCTTTCCTCCCAAACGTCAAAGTCACACCTGAGGGCAAGGATCAAGGACTGTGAGGGTCAGACTTCAGATCCCTCCTCGCTCCAACCCGGCCCCTTTGGGGTCATGACCCCGTTCCCTTTTCTCAAGTTCTGGACTCACTGTCTTAATAATTCTGTGCAGTACGAGTTAGTTTCTCTATTTCTTGCCTGCTGGAGGTGCCACGGCCCCTCTGTAACATTTGGAGAAACTGAGGCCCAGAGAGGTCACTCAGCTAGGATGCGGTAGAGCTGAGATGATGCCCCTCCGGGTCCGTCTGACTCCTCAGCGCAACTAGTGCTTTGCAACGCAAGCCACACTTTCACCTGTCAGGCTGCATTGCACACTCAGTTGGCCGTTAACAGGGGAACCCAGAAGCTTTCACCCTGCAAAGCCGCGGGGTGAGTGAGGAGGCTCTAGCCAGGAAGGGAGGGAGAAGTGTTTGCTAGAGATGGAATCCTGTTTGACTGAGCTGGTGGAATGGCTCCCATCCCCCATGACGGGGCTGGGGGGCAACGTCTCTGAGGTCCTGGCTTGTCCCCGGAGAGAAGCTGGTCGGGACAGACGTGAATCAGACACAGGCTCTCTGGCCAGTTTCTCAAAATACTTGGCTTAAAGCAGACTGAAGATGGTGACTGCCCATCCATGTCTGTCCTCACCATCAAACTGGGATTCCACCTCTGTGTCCCCAGCATTGCCCAGCACGGGGCCTGGCATGCCAGAGGCCTTGGGGTGCATGAAACCAGGGCCCCTGACGGCTTGGGGAGTGAGGTGGGGAGGAGGTCCCGGGAGCCGGACTTGGCATGGAAACTTCAGTGATCATAACTGCTCACGTTTAGTGAGTGCTTATTGTGCAAGCAACAGCACTCCCAAGTCCTTGACAGAGACCGACTCATTCAGTGCTTTCAGTACCCTCTTGATTTTATGAATGCCGTTGGACGGGTTAGGAAAGTGAGGCCCGCGGAGGTCCTGTTACTTGCTGGATCACCCAGCTCCAGGCAGCCAAAGTCAAGGTCGAAGTGCAGGGCAAGTCCTGCACCAGTCTCTGCTACCCCCCCCGCCTTTTTTTTCTTTTTGAGATTTATCTGAGAGAGAGAGAGAGAGAGAGAGAGAGCAAGCGCACAAGCCGGGGAGGGCAAAGGGAGAGGGAGAAGCAGACTCCCCACTGAGCGGGGATCCTGAGATCATGACCTGAGCCAAAGGCAGCCGGTTAAGCTGAACCGCCTAAGCCACCCAGGCGCCCCTCCTCCCCTTTTCACTCCACAGCTGCAGCAAAGCCCTGACAGCAAAGGCCAGGGGTGTTGTCTTCAGCTGCTCCTGGGGTCCTGGGACCTTCTCTCCTGGTTTCCTCCCACTTCTAGCTGTTGCTTTGGGCTCTGTCGCCCCCTGGGCCTCCCTGTGCCCCAGCCCTGGTCTCCATGGCCTGATACGCCTGTGTCGAATACGTCTCCCCCACCGGCAGGCCCGAGTTTGACGGGCTTTGGTCCCAGCCTCACCCAGCACAGGGCCTGGCACACGGGTGTGCGCTGAAGGAGAGAACAAAAGAGAGGGTATCAGCCGCTGTCCTATCCCAGGGATATGTGCTGCCTGTCCCTGCCACGCGGCCCCGGGGCCCCCTCCACTGCATCCTGTCTGCTGGCTGTGTGTGGGGGTGCCCTTTCTGAAGAAATAAATGGTTCAAACGTTGCCAACTACCTGATCACTGGGCCAGACCCCCAGCACCATTGCCCTCCTTCTGTTGCCACCCCGCCACCTGTTACTTGGCAGCTGGTCCCTTTGTCCATCCTCATGGGCCCCGCATTTCAGCCTTCCCTTCCTCCCACCTGGCCCCACAACGCAGTCTCCTCCCTGGTTCTCAGTGTTGCCTTCAGTCCATCCTCTCCCAGCCTCAGGGCTCCTCCTGCACCCCGAGTTGTCCTGAGGCTCCCCAGCACCCTCAGGACAAAGTCTGAGCCCCTCAGCCTGGTGTTTGAGACCCTTCGTGGTCTGGCCGTGGCCCCTGCTGTGCCATCCATGGTGCCCTGTCCCTCCCTCGCCTGATCTTTCCTGATAGACCAGTCCGCTTCTTGCCTTGGACCTTTGCCCCCCGCTGTGCCTTCTGCCTTGGCACCCTTCCCTCTCCGTCTCTGCTTCCTGTACCTCCCTTATCCTGCCTAACTCTGATCTGTCAATTGTATCAAAAGTTTAGTGATTCTCTGGTATCACCTCCTCCAGGAAGCCCCCCTACCCCAACCCTCTCAGGCCTCTTGATCTGTCCTCGGACACTCCTGCAGCCCCCTGGGCCTGCCTCTCTCAGCTCTGCGCCCACACTGGGTTGGGATCCTCTGCTCACCCAGGTGTCACCCCCGCCCCCAGAATGGCAGCTCCTTGGGGTGAGTGCCAGGTCTCTACTCTGTTCCCAGCGGGGCTTTTTCACCTCCTTCCAACCTTTGCTCAGATGTCACCTTCTCTGTGAGGCCTTCCCTGGACACTGACTTAAAACTGCAGCCCCCATCATCCCTGTGCCGTCCCTTGCTGTAATTTCTCCATACTCTTATCACTTTGTAATCCACGGTGTAATTTTCTGATCGCTTGCTTTAGTGTCTGTCTCTCCTTCCAGAATTCAAGCTCCAGGGTCTGGAGGAGAGTCTGTCTGACGTAGTCACCACTGTCTTAGATAACGGTTACGCTCTACGGTTCAGGGCCCACTTCAGGCCAGTCCCCTGGGTCTGCTTCCTGCTCTGTGGCCTTGGGGGCAGTTGCTTGACCACTCTGAGCCTTACTGTCCTCCTCTCTACAGTGGGGATAACACTAATACCTCCTGTATTGGATGGCAGTGAGTATTAAATGGGCTGTTAGGATAGTTCCTGGCTCATGGTTAGTGTTGGCCTGGGCTGGTACTCAGGGAGTGTGGTTATTATTGGTAGAACTGGTAATGGAAGTTTTTTTTACTCATCCGTTCAGAACACAACAAATGCTCTGCTCAGTGTGTGTGTCTGTATGATTGTGTGTCTAGGGTGTTAATTCATAAGCATTTGGCAACCCAGGGATACTCAGTTCTGGCCAGGGATACCTTCTCCATGAGCCGATGAGGCTGTCAATGTCAGCGTTTCTTTCAAGGCCCAGGGAGAGACTGGATCAATTTTGCGTTCATGATTTGGTGTGCATTTTCCTAAAGAGGCTCCCCCAAAGGCTGGAAACTTCAGGCCCCAGAAAACCTGTATCCAGCTCTGGGCCTAACCCCAACCAGCCATGCCTTCCTTCGGTTCTGGGAGCGCCCGGCCTTTTCCCCTCACTCACCCCTCCTGCTCTCAGCAGGGCTGGCCCCTCCTTGTCCCTCATGTCACACGTGTCAGCTCCGTGAGGGTGTTGGTACTCTTTCCCTGCCCGAGATGAGGTTTGCTGTAGAAGGGTCTCCGAGCGCTGACCACTGCCTTAGTCATCTGTCCCTGGCGTCACTCCCTGGCCACCGTCTCCCTGTCTGGCCTTGGCTGTCCCGGTCACTCCGTGTCCTGGGTGTACTGTGCTCTGCCCAGAGCCCCAGCACATGCCCAGTGAGTGACTCGCTTGACGGAAAAAACTAGAGGACAGAACCGCAGAGGAGTCCTTGAGCTGTGTCGACAGTTCAGGGAGAGCTTGCAGAAGTCACTTTATAAACACCTGCTCTGAGACAGTGGGCCATGAATAAAGGGACCAGCTCCCCTACCTCTTGAGGGCCCATTTGGTGTCCTAGAGTCTCATGATTCCCAAGTCAGACTTGGAGTTAGGCTCCTGATCCTGCCACTTCCTTGCTGCTGTGTGATCCTGGGCAAGGCGCTTGGCCTCTCTGTGCTTCGGTTGCTCCATCTGTACAACGGGGATGGTGATGGCAGCAACTAACCTCCTCAGTGGTTAGGACAGTTAAATGAGGTAATACACGTGAAGCCCTTGGAGCGATGCCCATCTGGCTCACGGCTGTTTCTGTTGAAGGTTCATCTTTTGCAACTTGAAGAGAAAGAATGAAAGCTCCATGCTGAATCACCTCCTTTGATTTATAAAACCCCATTATTTAAAAAAAAAAAAAAAAAAGACACTGGTCTGAT